TTTTTTTTTTTTTTTCTTCTTCTGGTGATGAGAATGATGAACTCATGAAGTTGGTTCTGATATGGGATGTTGGTGCCTTCAGAAAGTGTCTTTATTTGTATGCAAAGAAATGTGAAATTGCAGCTCTTGAATGATGATTCTGCAATTTTCGGAATTTGATGCGTTTTGGGACTGCTACATGCTTTTGAGTTTCGATCATTGTTTACTTATTCATGTGTGTATTATAGAAGTTTCTGTATGTCTGTACATGTGCAAGCATCTCACTGGTTTGCGTCTTTTATGAGATAATTTTGTTGGTGAGTATGAAATTCCTCAGCTTGACTTACGAGGAGATTGCATCTCGTACCTGCCCGAGTTCAAGAGTGAAAACAATGTGTGGATTTGAACCACTTAGCAGATTCCAACACCGATGCATATTTTGAGACGGCAATTCTGCCTCCAATAGTGTCTTGAGCCCGAATCTTGAGGTGACCATGAGAGAACTTCAGCTTCACATTTTAACTGATGGAAGCAACACTTTCCCTGCTGATTGTTCGGTAAATTATCACAAACTAGAAGCTCACATGAATTTCATGCCACAATCGTGTGAGTCAGCAGCTGGGTATCCTTTAAGGATACATGGAACCGAAGCTAAAAATAGAAAAATCAGTAGCTTACCTATAAGTTGTTCTCCTCTTTTAGAACGTGACACCTAATCCTCGTTGCCTCTTCCAAATAGCTCTCCGCAAATTGTCGATGAGGATTTTCTTAGTCTTGGAATAGGAGGTGGTACGGAAATCAAATCCAATAGTAAGTTCAGTACTCGAGAAATTGCTAGTCAATTGATGGATCCTCTGTCCTCCCAGTGTATGGATCCTATCGTTGCGCAAAGTCCGATAAACAGTTCGATTCTTACTCCATTAGTAGGGTTCCAAACCGATGCTGGTGGATTATCAAGCTCATTATTGTCTCGCGATAATGGTGTACTTTATGGGGACACCAGGTCAAGGATAAATCCAATCCAGTTTCCTGGTTTCCAGGCTTCACAATCTAATCTGCAGTCTAACTTTTTAGCAACATATGATGATTTTGGATTTAATCTGGATTCATCTTTGTTGCCTTCCGGAATTCCTATAGTCCCTCAATGTGGACTTGTCAATCAGAGTCGATTGTGGACTCGAATGCCTACGCCCACATCTTTTGCAAGTCAAGTTATTCCCTTGCAACAACAGTACAGAAGAAGTTCCATAAATGCCTCGTCTGAATCTTCGTGGGATAGAGGAAGCTCCATGGGTCATGCACAACGAGGTGAGTCTCTCTCTCTCTCATCGAAGAATATCTTAGGCTGAGATGAACTTCTTATAACAATAACTTTAGAACATGGCTTCATCTATGTGTTTCTCTTTACATTCACTTTCAAAGTAACGTAATTTTACAGTAATTGTCATCGCCAAGCTAGTCAATTGAAAATATGCTTAAGAAAATTTTGTAAGGCAGAGAAGCTTGATGTATCTTTGTCCAGGGTGGAGATGGTAAAATCATCTTATTGGTAGAATATGAGAACCATGAAAGGGTATTTCATTTCTGCAAATCGGTTATTCTTATCTAAAGCTTTTACTATCGTCTCTTATTTTTGCAGAAAGATTAAATCCTTTGGCCGAGACTAGAAGGCCACAAAATACTGCTGGTGTTTGTTTTCCAGGGAGTGGTCAACCTGTGGGTAAGGTTCAATTTCACTTTCACAAGCACCTGCACATTAAAGACAATTGTTCCCCAGATTTTGATTAATTGGTAGGATAAAGTTAATGAGAAAAGGATTTGTGCGTGAGGTCAACTTGTTAGAAATTTCCACTGGTCCACTGTTACTCTCTTCAAGTCACTATTATTTTTTCTCAGATATTTTTATTTTTTTCCCCTTCTGCGTGAAGGAATCATATCTTTGCAAGCAGAAGGTACCAGCGATGGAGTCACTAACAGTTTTCTTTCGCCATCGAGTTTCCAGCCAGCTGGTATATGCAATTTGCTTTTGCAGATAGTTTGATCATTTACCAAAAGTTATATTGTTGTTTCTTTTTTTAATTAATGTACCCCACGTTCACCTCTTTCTTGCTGGACGCGTCAATTGACACTGTGGTGCTAAATATAAGTTTCGGACTTTGTAAAGTTTCTAAAGTGAGGATCAATTTGCTTAATGTGATGGCCACATAACTCTAGTTTTTGAGTCATCTGTAGCTTCTTGTGTGAGTCTATCTGGGAGTATTGCAGACTGGAGAACCCTAAGTGGTTTATGAGATAGCCAAAAGTTTAATGTTGTCCTTTTAGACGACAGGCAAATTGATTATTTGTTGCAACAACTTTTGTGGTATAAAAACCTCATTGGTACTATGATTTCGTAAAAGTGGAACAAGTTCCAATCAAAAATCATTAAAACTCTGTAATCATAAAGTCGAGTTTCTTATAAATAGTACTTGCCCACTATTAAACTGTCTTCTTGCAAACAAGCATTTTCAAGTGATCGTTAGTTAAACAGTTAAGTTTTTTTGTAATTGAAATGCTATTGTTTTATTGATTGCTCTGGTGTGTTGATGTGTATAATGATGAGTCTCCTTCCCTTTCTCTCTTTACTTCTTTTTTTTTCCTTCTCAAAACCCAGGGCAAGCACCGTCTTCTCATAACGTTAGCTCTACTGCTGGGATTAACTCAATAGCTGAGATACTTACTTACCCAAACCCAATAGTCAACCCTATCCTGTTCCCGTATGCTGCTGCTGGTATTTTCTCTACAAATGGTGTTCAACCTACTGAGCCTACCGCCCGAACCATAGAAGGTCTGTTTTCCGAAATTAGTCAGAAACATAAGTAGCTTGATATGGTTTGTAGCTATAATTATTTTGAAAACATTTTTTTTTTCTTCATGAAACATTGGGGTAGTAAATGATGAAAGTAGAATTTCAATTGACTTGGAACATTCTTGCACCAGAGTGCAGTTTCTACTGGACTGCTTTTGGAATCACGTAACAGACGCGTGTGCTTATAGATGTACTATATTGGTTACGACTTTACGTCGAGAATGAATTATTTAATACAAGGAAAAAGAAAAGAAAAAAAGCAAAAGTATAAACATAAGTTGTGGTGAACTTCTAATTTTTGCATGGTTTTTCGGTACTTTGTTTCTTCTAGACTCTCCTGAAACCTCTGCATCTATTCGGGCTTACCCTGTTAGGCCCATAGTTCCATCAGGTACTTTGGTGAAATCAATCATGCAAGAAGGGGGCAGATCAGGCCTTTCCCAATGTAGATGCTTTAACAATATGCTTATTTGATCCATATAGGCCCGCATCAGCGTGGAGTACCAGCTCAAGTGCCTACTGTTTCTCCAAGTCGTGATTACTCGATTGGTATGCATTTTTCATCTGTTTTATATTTTTACCGAAATTAGCTGAGGCGCAATTTGTGTGGGTTTTATGTTTGTAAATATATCTAACTTTACAGGCGAGGCTACTCCAGCACCAAGACATGGTGTTGGGTCCCCCGGTGTTGTTTCTCATCCACGTTTGAAAAGAAAAGCAACCGTAAACACTTCACATGAACGCTTGCTTCAACGCAGGAAGAAAACACATCAACCTGATAAATTGGCAGCCGGCAAATGGCTAAGTTATCTTGGTACCAGGGGCGAAACCATGTATAGCATTGGAGAGGCGCCGGCCCCTCCAAAAAAAAAAAATTTAAATTAGAGGTGGAGGATTTTGCTGGAATTGGAAGATTTTTCTTTGAGCGCACATGTTGAGCCCTCCCCGGTTTCATGCGGTACATACATGGCTGGAGGGGCGCCACCGGTTTTGTCGTGAAAATTCTTTTAAAGGCAAATTGAGCCCTCCCCGAAACGGGATCCTGTTTCGGGACAATGAGAACTATAACAGTTGCAGAATTTAATAATTTTTTTATTTTTATTATTTTTTGAGTTGGTTAATTAGCCGACTTTCGGTGTACCGACGGGACTCAAAAACCGAGTCGATCATTACCTGAAAATACTTTTATGAAAGTACGGGAAGCGGAGAGTGCGTTGGTGGCATCGATTTATGATTTTGAGGTCCCGACCATTTATTTTGGGTAGCCTAAAGTTGAGAGAAAAATGACAGTGGCGGTGATTTTATTGTCATTTTCATGTCTAGACTTCGAGTAACCGTCGATCCTCGTTAGGCGTGCTGAAAATTAGCGGGAGTGCTTTCTTGAAAGCACGAGAACAGTAGAAGCCGTTCGTAAAATTTATTTCACGTTTCGAAGTTTCGAGCATTTATTTTGAGAAGCTCGAAGTCGAGTGCGCATAATAGAAGAATAAAAAGCCGTTTTGCGGGATTCCGTAAGGTTGCGTGTGACCTCGGTTTAACGAGAATCGAGTTGGAGCGTGGACAATTCAAGCACGATTCCATACGGACAAATTTTGTATTTTTTGAAATTTCGAGCATTTATTGTGGGAGTTTGAATTTCTGCGTTAAATAGTATCAAAAGGAGCAAATTTGTCGAGGACGAGTTCGATCGTTTGAGGCTTCGTTTTCTCAATTTTTTCAGCTTTTCGTCTATTCGAAAGAAGGTATAATTCTTGATTATTATTATAATTGAGTCCGAGATTTTTATTAGTATAAATTCGAGTATTTTTCGAGTTAAAACAATTCAGTTTAAGTATACTAGTTTAATTTCGAACTTAGTTTGATTTTTATAAAAATCTCTAGAGTATTCCTTTATATCCTGCGAAAATTTTTGAGAGTGTCCACAAAAGCCCTTTGAGCGCCTTTCCGATATCGGAGTGGGGGTGGTGCGCCGCGGCAAATTGGGCCCTCCCCGTGATGACGGCTGGTTTCGCCACTGCCTGGTACTCGAGCTCCTACTGTTGTAGACAAATTGGCAACCAGCAAAAGGCCGAGTTCTCCTGCTACTCGAGCTCCTATAACCGCAACTAATCGAATTCCACCAGAAGCCCCTTTTCATATAAGATGGGAAGGTAGGAGTCCATAAAAAAAAAAAAATTACGGAACAACACATTTTTATCTAAAAAGGTCTCTCTCTCTCTCTCTCTCTCTCTCTCTCTCTCTCTCTCTCTCTTTGTTTTTTCAATAATTATTTGTTGATTTATTGCATTTTTTTCCCCTTTGTAGGTTGTGATGAACATCTCGAGTCAAGTGGGCATAAGTGCTTCCTTTGCAAGAGGGATATCTCGTTTACAGCCGATGGCCGAATGTACCAGCCTCCGATCCCACCGGCTTCTGCAGTTCTACCTTGTGGCCACACTTTTCATGACGGTTGTTTGCAGAACATTTCTACCCAAGACTGTTGGAAAGATCCTCCTTGCATTCCTTGTGCTCTTGGCGAAACATGATCCCGGTTGCCTGTTATTTATACTCATCAAGTTTTTTTTCTGAGAGAGAGAGAGAGAGAGAGAGAGAGAGAGATTTATATTTGCGGATGGAGCTAGGTATAGTTCATGGAACTGTACATGGTAGATTAGGGATTCCATTATTAGGAATTTTACTCGAATAAGACTGACAGAGCCAAAGAGTTTTTATTTGTAATTGCGACTTAATGGTACAATAGTTTACGTAGTGTATGTATTCTCAAAATTGATTCAAAATTGAGTTGAAAACCAATAGCAAAACCATCATCATATAACGAATGTGCTACATAAACTCAGCAGTGGGGCGTATCAACAGCAGATACAATGAATGTGAAACTAACAACAAAGGAAAACATCAGGATTTTCAGGTCTAGCTAGCTCTGTATCTTAATCTCAATTTACAAGCAATCTCATCACATTCACTGCATGAAAACTACTCTTTTTAAAATTACCAACCGGACAATGCCGTTTGTATCCCCACTCCCCTCGCGAAGGCACATCGTTTTCAAACTCCGAACAGCTCGGCTGCTCGTCATCCGACCCGTCCGCATCCTCCTCATGCCCGCAAGAAAATGACTCCGATGATTCGTCGGAACATGAGCTGTCATCCACATCACTCCCCGAATCCAACAACACAGACTCACTATCGTCAAACTCGTCCACATAATAATCAAAGTCACTACCCAAACCATCGAGAAACGGGTGTTCCAAAAGCAGCTCGGCCGTCAGCCTGTACAAAGGGTTCCTCTCGAAACAACACCTGAGAAAATGACGCGCGTCCTTTGGTACCTTGCTGGGAACTTTTGGAATATCCAATCCGGACCCTATTGTTTCCAGAATTTCCTCCGCGCTCCTCCCTTCCCACGGTGCCTTACCGGTCAGCATCTGAAGCACGACACAACCGAGCGCCCAAATATCAGAAACGGCCTCTTGCTCGTCCCCTGTCACGGCTTCAGGGGACAGGTACATAGGCGTGCCCCTCCAGCGACAAACCTCCTCCCCAAGTTTCCTCTTCTTGCAATTAGACCGTTTTGCCCTCTTTGCGAGCCCAAAATCCCCGATTTTTGCTGTGAACTCGGTGCTAGTCGCCCTGAATTTTCGGTTTCTTGGCACGAGTAGAATGTTACTCGGCTTTAGATCACAGTGGACGTAACCAGACCCGTGAATGTGGTACAAGCCTCTGAGAAGGGACCGTGTGTGCATCTTCACCTCGATTATCGGCAGCCCTCGGCTGCCTAAATTATCAATCCGGTCAGCCAGGGTTCCACCGGCAGCATACTCGAGCAGTAGATTATACGCAGTCGTGGCAGAGTCGCCCTGAGTCACCTCGTCCCCATAGCACCGGACTATGTTGGAGCACGCGGCCATGAGGATCATGATTTGCTTCTCCTTCTGTAGCGTGTCGGAATATGAAACTTCGGCGGATTTCACGGCCAGCTCAGGCGGGAGGCAGCTGTTTTCCGAGCGGCCGTCTCGGAGAGTTGCCTTGTAAACGCGGCCGAAAGCGCCTTTCCCCAACAGAGGGCCCCGAGTCCATGAAACTCCGTCTCCGAAGTCGTTGCCGTCCTTTTCTCGAGCAAGATCGTCTCTTTTCACTGCCATTCTTCTTGCTGTTCTTCACCAAACTCAGAAAATAGTAATACTAAGAAACAAAGTTAATTTGTGTGTGTGGGCTGAACTCGAAAACTGGATATGATTAGCGTTGACACTAAGAGAACAAATAAGAAAGATGCGTTTTCTTGACTCGCAAGTATTTAATTGTATGAGAAAAAGTAGTGTTGTCCAAGGAATTGCTAACTTTTTTACTTCCGTTTGTCCAAGAATTGCTTGCTTTTTTATATTTTAATGTGATTTTAAGTTAAATTTTATTTTATTTTTTATATATTTTTTATGTTCTATTAACATTTTGCATTATTACTTTCAATTAACCAAACAAAAAAATACATTACGTAAGTTATATAATTAATGTCAAATATATTGAAAGTTGGAATACAATTTTGAAAATAATAATAGTAAAAAATTGTGGTGAAAAAGATTGCATGAAAATTTTGATTGACAAAGCTTCGTTATCTGAGTTAGTCTTGTTTATTCAAAATCTTTTTTGTTTGAGAAAAATTGAAAAATATGCACAATAAAAACAAATTGAATCTTTCACAAGAATAAATACATGTGATTTACAATTTTGTCTTAATATCTTGTTAAAGAAAACAATTATTTGTCACTATTTTTATTGACTAAATAACACAATTATAATTCAATTGATATGCTAGCATCATCAACATCAACATACCCAGTATATTCTTTTTTAATTCAATTGATATGTTAGCAAATTTTTAAATATTATTATATTATCGTCCTTTTTTAGTGACATAGGTTTCATATGCATTTTTTCACTGAATCTAATTAATTATAATTATTTTCACAAATTATAATTATATATTACAATTCAAGCTTTGATCGAATTTTAGTTTTTTTTTTTTTTCATTCAAATTGTTTTATTTTCTATGAACCGTATTACAAACATATGGTACACCATCTCATCTAGATTTCAATAATTTTTAAAAAATAAATTCAATATAATAAAACTATTTTTTTTTTTTTGCCAAAACGATAGAGATATTATAAATCAAAACGCACAATTGTGCAAAAGCAGCCCAAGGCTGAATATTACAACCCGGAACTAGGAACTGAGAGAACGGAACAAAAGTCCGCCTAGAACCTCGCTAGCAACACTAGAATAGAAAAACAGACACACAACTAACAGACACAAAAACACCAACTAAGATCGCTCCCCACAGGAGAATAAAAACGCCCCCCACAGGGGAATCAGAACCAGTACCGAGGCCAGCGGCCCAAACCTAAAAAACAAGACCAAAAAGCACAGACAGACTCAGGCAAAGAGCCCAGACCAAAAAAACTAAACTAAACAGACTCAAGGACACTAAACAAACTAAACTACTAACGACCCTCCCCCTAAACAAGACCACTAAACTACTAACGACACTAAACAAGACCAATAAAACTATTATTTTGATAAATTATATTTTATTTTTCACTTAAGAAATAAATTGATTTAAAATAAAAATCTCATATTATGTATAATGAGCTATAATCCTTTCCCGTTTCTTATATCCGTTCTTTCCGTTGGTCTTTAGGTCACGCTTGATGCTGAAAAATTTGTGATTGAATAACTTGTGTAAAATATCAACCAATTAATTATGTAGTGAATCACATAAAATGTATAATCTTAAGTTTATAAATACAAAACCTTAAAATTCCCTCCAATGTGTGATGCAGATGAACCATAATATTATAACTTGGTCAAATTAAACATATACACACACACACATATATACACGTATAAACTTGGTCAAATTTCCGTGTAATAATTGTTATTAATATATATATATATATATATATATATATATATATATATATATATCAATTCATGTATTATTTATATATCACAAAATTAATTTCTTAGATTAGATATAATTTCAATTAATTGATAATTTATCATAAAATTTATTAATTAAATTCACAAAAATTCTTGTAGGAGTCGAAATAGCCATTAGGCGGATTGATCCGTCATACATTTTTTTTAAATAAAATATATACGTATGCAATAAAATATCATATTGTTGTTTTTACTTTTAAAGTATGACAATTTAATTTGAGTTTAGTATACCTATTGGAAATGTATGAATGTTTAATCGTTAGGTCTGCCTACTTTACTGATATATTCATTTTCTTATTATACTGTATTTTATTACAAATATAAAAAATTATTTAAAATAGAAACACATGTTAGGGTATCTATAGTAATTTTGTTAACTCATTTTTACATTATTACACAACTTTTATTAGCTTCACACACAAACCACATCCTTTGGTTAGAAATCTATTTATTTTTATATAATAACTATTTTTTTTTGTTGTATACAATTGGTCTAATATTTAATATTGCTTTCTTATAATTAATGTAATTATAAAATAACATCATAAATGTTTTATTAATCATTTTTTTACTAAATAAATAAGTAGAAAATTTCAAATTAATTATAACTTTATTTTTTTTACCAAATGTATGAAATATTTGGAAGTTTTTATATTCTTTTGGATAAAATTAATTCTTAAAATATATGTCTAAGTCAAAATGAGAATTATTTCTTACACCAACAAAAACAAAAAAAAAAAAAAAACTACTTTTGAAGAATAAAAATATTTTTCAAAAAAGATCTTTAAAAACATAAATTTGAACTGAAACGAAAAAAAAGCCGAACCCTAGACCCTCTCGTCTCTCAATCGCCGATCCTCTTCTCTCAATCGCGCTAGTAGTATCTCCCTCGCCGGAAGTTTGGATTCATCGGTGGACGGCCCTCCGTCGCCCGTCCATGGTGGTGCTTCCTCCTCTCATCAGTTGATCGTCTCCCTGCTTCGCGTCTCGACCGATGGAGCAGGTCCTTCCTCCTTGTTGGTCGACGGAGTCCAGGTACGGTCGGAGATGGTAGGGGTGTGGCGCTGGCTCATGGATGTGGTCGGGATAGCTGCAATCGGTTTCGGCTGGGTCTTTGGAACGATGCTTCTCCCCTTTTCGCTTCTCTCGCTGCCGATCAGACCGTGCCTTTTCGCCGGCGAAACGGCGGTTGGCGGTGGACTCCTCCTATGTCGACACTTGGTTGTGTCAATTGGAGGTATGCTGTAATATCCCGATATTTTAATCGGTATAATTACGTTTAATTCCGATATAGTAACGTTATCGTTTATTATTTTCGGAATTAATTAAGTTCAGTCGGAATTACCGAAATTGATTTTCGACGTACCGTTTACGTTCGGAATAAATTTTGGGAATTAAGTACTATGTTTAATTAATAATTAAACATCAAGATTAGGGTTAATTAGTGAATTAACCCTAATAAGATGCTTAAGCCGTGAGCTTAATGAAAATTTTGCCCAAAATTTACCTAAGGCCGTGAGGCTTTCTTAGGCAAGAAGAATGGATTTTTTAACCAATCAAAATCTAGCAATTGTCATGAGGAGAATGAGCTTAGTCATCACAAGATTAAAGGAGAATCAAGCAAGTGTTAAACATGGGTAAAGCCACATAACACTTCTGTCATCCCCTCCCTCACGGCCGAACGTCTATATAAGCATGTCACTTGGGAAAATTTCGTCATTTTTCCCTTAGAAACTGAACAGCACATCTTCTTCTAAGCCATCAGCAAGTTATACTCAGAATTTCCCTCAATAACCCTCCACAATCGCACGGCCAATCGAGAAGCTACCGCACGGCGCACGCAAGCAAGGAAGCACGCCTATTTTTCTGAGTTCCGTCGAGCAATTGGTGAGGTAAACTTCTCCTCAGATCATGTTTGTAGTGATTAAGTTATTTCAGAGTTAAACGTTCGGAGTAATTGCGAGAATTTTGAGTAAAATCATGAAAAAGCCGAACATATTTGAGTTAGATTATCACCGAACAATCTTTGCTTTTTCTTGGCAACTTTCGAACCAAAATCATGTGAATGTTCAGTATAGTCTATTTTGAGTTCAATATGATCAGATTGTTGAGGCAAAATGAAGAAAAGCCGATGAAATGGCCCCAGCCGGCGCCCCCGCGCCTATCGCGCGTAGCCTCGGGTAGCCGCGGGCCGAGGCTTGTTACTTCAGTATTAATCAGGTTCTTCCGTGTGATTAAGTCTTAAATCGTTTCAGTATATTGATCATGTAGTAGGGTTCTGAAGTTGTCAAGTAAAGAGGCTGTTTGGCCGAGAGTGGCCGAAGGCCGTAGGCCTCGCACGTAGCGAGTGCCACGGCCGAGTATTAAGTCCAATCAACCAATTCGGTGAATTCATGTTAAATTTAGCGTAATAATCATTTCAGGTCATATCATGTTCAGTTAGGTCAGTTTGGTCGGAAAAGTTTGCCGGACGGTCGGCACGGAGCCGACTGTGGCCGCGCTGCCGCACCCAGCGGCA